TCGCAGGTGAAAATTCAGCGGGGAATTTGCCGCTGTTTGTTTTAGACCGGGTCAACCAGTCAGTAGAGCGATGGATTCAGTATCGAGAGGTCCCCGGTTGCAGCCTTGGTTAAGTCACTCCTTTTACTCCTTAGCTTCGTAAATGAGTACCCTCTGTGTGCACGAAATGGCAGACCATATACCAGGCTTGTCACAGCGCTGCTGTTAACTCTACTTTCAAGACACTTCCGGATGATGACAAGGAAATGGAGATCAGTACCCCATACTTACTTCCATAAAAAGAAGGGCACCAGAAAGACATAACCATTAAGGTTTAAGGAAAACTGATATTCCAGTTGATAAAAGCATTGCTTCATCTTTTAAAATCTGTCATTGCTACTTGTTGAGATCATTACCTGGAGCCGTTTGCATAAGCAGCGTGTCTTTTGTTTGCGATGTCCGCTGTAACCGAAGATATTCAAAATTTTTGCTATAACACACTGGTTATCACATTTTGAAAAGAAAAATTCCTCTCCAAAAGAAGATCCACGTCTAACATGTTCCTATGTGTTACGCAAAGTCTGTTTGTCGGCTCAAAGGTTTAGCAGATGAAGCACTAGAAGTTTGATCGCTAGAATGCTATCACACAAGCGCAACATTTTGTGGCATAAGAAACAGGGTGAAAACAAGAAAAAACAGGAATAACAAACAGCGTGACAGTATTATCACAGCACCAGAAGAACAAATAAACTATATTTCACCGAATATTGTTCAGTAATGCTGCTTCATTGCGTCGCAGTCTTTGAGAATGCATGCTGAAACACACCTTAATGACTTCCTTGTGCGTTCCATCTGAGAGACAACATTAACACATCTGGATCTAGTCGATGTGCTGCGTAACAAACACTCATTTAGAAAGTCATGAAGAGGATGGGTTGCGTGATTCAGGATGTCATTCTCCATGTTCAAACCGCGCAAAACCACTGCTGACACAGCTGAATGCTTGACTAAGTTGTTGCGTGGAAGGCCACTGGGCGTTTAGAAAAGTCTGTGATCTTTTATTTACTACTTTCAAGTCGAAGGCCAATAGTTCAGAAGTCTGCCGTTGTCATTCAGCCTGTCAGTACTGCGATGACCAAGTACGTACGGTCATAGTTCGTACTCGGCACCCATCTTCGTTTTGTGGTTACTTATGACGAGTGCGACGCCGTGACGTGACAAAATGGTAACTGCCGACTGGAAGTCATGACAGAAAGCATTTTTGCCGCTGTCACTCGAGATATTTGTCTGAGCATTCCCGCGTCAGACCAGGATTCCCTCCAATATCTGCTTCAAAAAATGACCGCCCAGCTTACCGTAATGGACAACGGACAATTCACTGGCGTAACCTACTCTGGCCCAGCTTACAGGTCAAGCATTCCCTTCTTCGAGAGGCGAAAATTCGTGGTCGCCAGTACATCGAGTTTGTACAGCAGGCATAACCTAATTTTCCTTCGCGAGATAAGGAAGGGACGTTTCAACATGCGAGAGGAAAGCTGCTTTCTGTCATGTTGATTGCTGGAATCACGGACTTCTTAGTTACTAGTTCATCGGTAACTTGTTAGCGGGAACCGCTCCCTTTGTAGCTCAAGTCCACGAGATCATAACTCGTTGGCCCTCGCTAAGAAATCAACCTAGAATTTGACCATTCCGAAGTCTGAAAGTAGGCAACTGGTCTAACAATGCCTTGTTCACACTATAATCCAAAAAAATCATAATCGGGAGTACGAAATTTCCCTTGGGACCATACGTCGATGCGTCATTATCTTTGAAGATGACTGCGCCAAACGGTACCGTAATCGAATGACCACGTGAGCTGCTTTTGTTCCAACTCGTAGGGCATAGAAACTGCAACGATCCTAGATGTGTCCACCAATTTTGTCACGTTCTTTGGTTTACTGCAAAATGTGGGTATTTCATATGCTCTCCTTGTGCACATGATTGCGATTTAATGGTTTTGTGGAAAACACAAGCCTTGGAATTTTTTTGCTAGAGCTTCGACTTGATACTTTCTATGGAACGTTGTACCCGGAGAAAGACCCAGCCTAGCTGGTACTGATCAGTGGGGTCAAAATGTTTTACCTCTTTTTGATCGTAAGCAGACGATTCACCGATTGGACAGTGTCATAGGAGATTAGTAGTTCAGAAGCAGCAGCATCTTTTGCATTCGCTGCCTGTAGAAGTTTAACAAATTACATTACTTATACAAATTACATGACATTACTTACACAAATTTGTCTAAAATTAGCCATGACCGCCGGTCAGGAATCTGAATTCGGCGCTAATTTAACGATGGAATTCATAGGGAGAATACCTTCTGACGAGTTCAATATGGATAAGCTTCGAATTTTATTTTTGATATTCAAGTGATATCTTAAACATAATCAATCAGACATTACCCGACCTTCTATAACACTGACCAGTAGATTGCACTAATGCTAAAATTCTTTTAAAAATAAATATAGTCATAGGGGTCAAGCGCTGTTCTGCCCAGTTGCTTGTGGCTGACGTAGAAGCTTTCGATAAAAGCCTTGGAACACAGAGAAAACTTTTTGTAGGTTATGCTTTACATAGATAAATTGCCTCAAAACAAATAAGAATCTCTGTGGATATCAAGTACCATTATTTATTTATTTGAGCACCCTCACAAGTTTCCCTCGAATCGACGGGATGCTATGGATGGATTTGGAAGAATATTTTATTTTTAAAAAAATGATTAAAGCTAAGTGCGGTTAACAATAGACAGTTTTGTTTTCGTAGATAATAATAGAAAACCTTATAAAGCATATTAAAAAAGAGATGTATAGAAGCCTGGAAAATATGTTTAACGGGTGAACTTTCCGTCGGTCACAAGTTATTTCTTCCTCAAAACAAGTTAATATAATTAATTTATGCTGAAGAAGGAACATTGTTTAAAATTCTAAACACTTTACTTACAAAACACTTCTTTCCACATTTCTGATCGTCTCCTTTGATATATTATTGTAGACGTATAATATATCTTTTCGCGGTGATTGTAAACTTTTTTTTTGTATTTTTCCGTTATATTCGTTAGCTATCTTTAACGCGTTTTTGTAACTTGCAAATCTTTATTTCACTGTCAGCGGTAGGTCAAACAACTTGAGGATGGCACAGAGTGATTTCTCCGACGATGACTTTGAGGATGCTTTCATGTCTTCTGAGGCAGCAAAAAGTATCGGAATTCAGCCATGTGAAAAAAATACCATCAAGGTTCTGGAAGATTTCGGGTTCTCTTTCAGACCGTACGAGATACAGCAGTGTTTCATGCAAGAAATGTACAAAGTTTTGGAAAATGGCCGGATCGGCATATTCGAAAGTCCAACGGGCACAGGCAAGTCGCTGAGTCTGCTGTGCGCTTCCATATCTTGGTTGAAGAACTTCGAAGCGATGCATCTTGCCGAGATGCAAAGACTTACTGAGAACAATTCTTCCAAAACCGATACCAGCAACTGGTTGGAGGAGTTCGAACAAGAGAAAGAACTAAAGCAGTTGAGGTTCGAGGCTGAGGCTGAACTGAAAAAACGTCAGGAGCTGGGAGAACGATTAAAACATGCCAATGAATCGTTAATGGGTAAGCAGTAATATATGCGCAAGTGTTTATATGTTTAGTGTCGCTGTGATATTCATTGATCGAATACAGTGCGCGAAGATGTAGAGAATAAGGATGCTAAAGCTGTATCTGTGAGACGGTTCAGTACAGAAACATTATTAGTCATCATGAATATGATTGTTTGCTTATAAATTTTAATGATTAATGATCTTCATGTCATCTTTGAATCTGTGGCCAACTACTTATCTGAGCAAAACTTCACCATCCCGTATTACATGATATTCTAAGAAATTTTCGACAAGTGCAAATCCTTTAAGAAGGGATCGATCACATACTTTTGCCAAATAACTTGGTCGAGATTACTTTTTAGTCCGTTTCATTCTTTTGAAGATCTGCTTGTTAGTATGTCCCAGTAGTTTCGTCGAACTATGATGTGTACTTACTATTTTAATTTATTAACAATATAATATAACATGGGTATGCGTAAGCCACTACATTGTACGGATGGGAAGCTGTTTAAAGCAGTCATAGCTTTCTGTCTCTTCTTATTGTGAGCTAAAGTGGCTTTGTGTCGCTACTGACAGCAAGAAAAGAACTTTTTGATGGAAACTGGAAGTTCAAACAGAAAACAACAACAGGGATTATTCTTTGTTGTAATTATCAAATTGGATTGTCAGCACAGAGATCGGTCAGGGTGAATTGTAGTCCTGTGAGGTGCTCGTATCAGAGATATCAAGATACCATCAGTTTGAAGGAGGTTTATTTTTTCTGGTATGCGAACTAGGTCTCGACCTCATTGCGCAATCGGTACACTGAAACTCAGCATAAGCACTGAAAGCTTCGATGTCAAGGATTTGGGAAGTATTCGCAGAGAAACTTAACTTTGATTACCGACTGACCAGTAAGGCTTTTTGGCAGACCTTCCGTCGTCTACGCAAAGACCAAGTAGCGAGCGAACTGTGACGAGTTTGAAGGGAACTATTTAATGGACAAGGAAGATATTCTTCAGAGGTGGCGAGAATACTTAGAGAATTTCTTCAATCCAATCTCTGTGATTAGATAGAGCTCCAGGAGATAGTGCTTAGGTACTGTTTCGGAAGAAGAGTAGTTTCTCTTTCTCATTGACTGTAGTGACAGGTGCCATTAAATTGCCGAAAAGTAGTGAAGCTCCTAGAGAAGATAAAATCCTACCTGGGATGATAAAGCCTTGATTCATGAAGGTATTCTGTGGCTGGTTGAAGTTTGCCAAATTGATTAGACTTCTGGAAAGGCACCGACACAGTGGTGATCCGATATGGTTACAGACTGATGTAACTTACGTAGGAGTTAGGTTCCGCAAACCTTTGCGTATCGTGAATGACAGTATGTAAGTCGGGTGTAGCCGTTCTTTCTCCCCCCACCCTACTCGTTAATCATACTCCACTGTTGATTTGGTTACGTACATGTATTCAGTAGCGCATTGACATATTTTAAAGGTTATTCCTGTCATTCACGGTATGTGCAGACAAATTAGATTTAAATATGTAATTATTGATGCAAAGATACAATACAGTGTAAAGAGAATGAGAACATAGGAAATTAAAAAATTGTTTAATTTGGCTGTTCGAGTATATAAAATTATTAATAGATGATTAGAGAACAGTGGCAAAGAAGCAGATCCGTTGACATGTTCCTTTATATGAACAACATCATTCGTAATTGTATTCACAGTTGATTTTACGAGACCAAACTCACGTCCTGTGACCATTAAGTTTTGTCCATCTTCGTATTAATTTATAATTTTATAAATTTCATCTCTAGATCAATTTTTGATGCGTTTACGCATGGGTTCACATTTTCCATTATGATTTTGCATTGTACTCTATCGCAACGCATGCAAACACTAAAATTTATTAAAATATATGAATACAAATATTTTTTTTGTTTCTTGTGCTACCAACCGTCGAATCAGAAGACTTATTGCCTTCAAGTCATCAAGGGCATTTTGTTATCGGTTTGAGCCTTATAAATTATTATTATTTTTAAATCTGCAGTATGTCAATAGGAGTTCGATATGAAACAAAGCAATACTGAGGAAAAAGGAAGCATGCAACGTAATGGCTCTTTGACTGGCGAAAGACCACTGTTAAATGGTGTACAATTCGCTTAGGCTCATGAAGTTAAATCTTTATTGCTTAGAATTTTTCTATAACCCTTTCGGATAATTTCCGTTAAGTCAGGGTCTGGTTATATTTCTATGTTCAAGAAATGGAATCAGAGAAATGGCAGCAACTGTTGATGCATCTTTCCTACTTAACTTACCCGGTAAAATACTCGAAAAGGAGGTGTTCCAAAATTGTAGAGTGTAATATTCAGGACGATCAATGATGTGTCGCAGTCGTTCGTGGACCGGAGGTTTAGTCCCCGCTGTGTAATACGAGAAATGCTGGGAATACGTGAAGGAGGATAATGCATGTTTCATTGATCTAGAGTATCGTGGTCGTATGACAAGAATGTGCTTTGGTGGTCAGTGCGAGGACCATTAGACCGTTATACGACCGCTTAGAGATATCTCTCTGGATTTATGGAAGGATAACTTCCGCCAATGATGTATGATATCTCTTCTGCTATTTATAAGTTTTTAGACTGGATTAGCGTAGTTATACAAGCATACTTGAACGTTCGTAGGTTGCGGCAGCTGGAAACATCAAACTGGCTTTGCAGGCAGGTTTGATGGTCATGCAACACTCGAACAATGACTTACGTTGTTCCCTTTTTTTGAGGCTGTTTCGGTTGATGATTTTAAGCCTTTGCGTCGAGGCTTGAGGTTGTAGGCTGAGGCACCTGGCTTACCTTATCAACGGATCGTTTCGATTGTGGTCAGTGACATTTGATCTTCCACTGAAACCTTCGCGAACAACATCCTAGCCTTTCCGTCTGCATGATATTATGGGCAGCTGCAAATCGAAGGTGAAGGAAGGCCACGCATACAGATCTGAATCTAATGTACGGTCATACACAGGCTTTCTAAAGCGCAGTACTGTCTCTGGTCTGATTTGGATTCTGAAGTATCCTTATGAATTCAGCGACAAGTTACT